GCCGGCGAGGGCATTCCTCGCCAGATCCGACGAGGGTGGCCCTCATCTGGGCTGGCGAGGGCAACCTTCGCCCTCGCCCACTGAAGCGAGGGTTATGGCCTCACCTGGGCTGGCGAGGGTTGCGGCGAGGGCCGCCCTCAGCCTTGCCGGCGTCGAGCGAGTGCGGTCGTCGCCCGACACCGGGGAAGGCGGCCCTCACCATCGCCGGCGATGGCCACAAGAGGAAAGAGAGAAAAGAAAAAAGGAAAACAAAAGAAAAAGACAAAATTGCCCCTATTTCGGTGCCGGAAAATGTTTCGGGGTCGCCGGTCGGCGAACATTTGGCCGGGCAACGAGCTGGGTCCTTATTTGAGACTAGTTTGGGCACTTTGGGTCCTTAATTGAAACATTGTCCACTTGGAGTCCTTTTTTGAAAAAAGAGATCAACTTTGGGTCCTTAATTGACATTTTCCCTTAAAAGAATGTTCGTTTCTGTATTTGTTATGTGACATTTCTCTTAGTCTTTATGATTACCATGTGGCAAGACACGTGGCATAATTTTGCCGCGCGGTTTATATATTAACCTATAAGCCTTCTATTTTTCATTGACTTTAAATTTCAGAAAATAAGGGGAAAATTTCAAAAAGGGGCACCAAGTGGAGTCATTTTTTCAAATAAAGGCCTGAAGTGGACATTGTCTTAAATAAGGACCTGAAGTGGACATTGTCTTAAATAAGGACCTGAAGTAGCCAAATTGTCTCAAATAAGGGTATGAAGTGATCAAATCATCTCAAATAAGGACCTTTGATCGGCCGGTGACCATTCCGTCGTCGAAGAAGGGGTATTTTAGTCAAAAAAAATTATAAGTATGTTTTTTATATTTTTTTACTTTCTTTTTTTTTCCTTTTCTTTTCCTTTTTCTTTTTCCTTTTTTCTTCTTCCTCCTAGCCGTCACTGCGCTGGCCAGCGACCTCCGTCGGGCGAGGGCCGCCTTCGCTGGCGTCGGGCAAGGGCCACCTAGCCCACGTCAGGCGAGGGTCGCCCTCGCCGGTGTCGGGCGAGGGCGGCCTCCGCCGACCCCGGCGGAGGGAAGAGAGGAAAAAAAGGAGAAAAAAAACAGAAAAAAAAGAAAAAACAAGAAAATAATAAAATAATAATAATAAGTAAATGACGAAAATACCCTTTGGCCGGTGAGGTCATGTCCTTATTTGAGACTTATATAGCCACTTGAAGCCCTTATTTGAGAAAATGATGGCACTTCAGGCATTTTATTTGAGACAAGATCCACTTCGGGCCCTTATTTGAGAAAATAACTCGACTTTGGGCCCATTTTTAGAATTTTCCTGAAAATAAATAAAGACGGAGTATATCCAGATTTTATCTCATATTAATCTTCAATTTGAAAATAATTGATAAATTAGAGAAAGCATTTTCACATATGCTCTTGTGTCACGGGTCGATAGTTTGGGAATGATCCGTGCGGCTTGCTCACCTAGATCGTAGAGAGAATCTAGAGAGAAGCTATGGGAGAGAATGGAAATGCTTCTTATTGTTTGGATGGTCAAAATGAGAAGATGACACCCCTTTATATAGTAGAGGCCTTGGATTACAACCATTGATCGATTTCTAGATGAGTGGTCGAGATCGCACCTTCTCGTCCACTAGCCACCGGCATTTATGCCGAGAACTCTCTAGGATCCGGCACAAGTACCGTCTTGTTCGTCCTTGGAAATGTTCCGGAAGCTCTATTAGGGTTTGGACGGGCATTCTTTGATGGTGCATGATCTTCGGTGTCTGGAAATCTCTCGACCGTAACACTTGACCGATGTGAATTATTTTAAAAATTTAAATTAAGAATAAATAAAACAATCAATAAAAACTAGACAGAAATAGAACAAACTAAAGATATATGATTTTGATATATCTGTTGTTAATTAACTATATTCACATAATTTGATTTAGTGCATAAAAGATTACTGTAAATGAAGAAACCTATTCAATTGCATATTCTAGAGATATGATTATGACATCGTCAGCTCTAACTTTTGTAATAGAACTTTTGTATTTTTCATTGCGACTTATCCAAACCATAGAACACCTTTGTACTATACAAAATCGCTTTTTTGAATTACGTTGTACTAAGTGCATTGGAAGTTACAAAACTTATTACGAAAGTATAATCGAATTTTAAAACCTTCAAAAAGTACAATTAAATCCTAAAACTTGTCAAATTGATGCAATCAAGTCATTTTGTTAATTTCGTCCAACTTGACAGATGACGTGACTTTTTTTTTATTTTCTCTCTCTTACTTGATGCTAACGTAGCTAAAACAAAAAGTATAAGGCTAAAATGACATCGTTCTTGTCCAAACCTGATTTTTTTAATCCAACTTTTATTAGCTAAGCTAATTTTTTTTAAAAATCAACCCTCGCCTGGTTTTTCTTTTTTGAAAAAAAAACTTATTTTTAATTTAATTTAAATAAAATTTGTAATTTAAAAAATCAAATTTGGATCAAAATGATATTGTTTTGGCTTTTTGTTTCATGTCACGTCAGTCCCAAGTAGGAGAGATAAAATAATCAAAAAACAGTCACAATAGCATTTTCCGTTACCAAGAATGTTGATAAATTTTAGGATATGATTGCACTTTTTAAAAGTTTTAAAATTTAATTATACTTTAATAATAAATTTTAGGACTTTCAATGAACTCATCCCATTATGTCCTACATGTTTCGAAAACATAACACAATAGCGTATTCTCTACCTCGCATAAATATTAGGCATCCTGCGATGTTCTTCTAGAAGATCATGGAATAAGGCTCGTGGCTGTTCTTAGATCACGTTTGGTATTCTTAAATAAATAAGGATCGATCGTACGCTGATGATTAAGGTGGGGCCCGACGACCGACTTCACTCATGAAGTTGTCCACACGAACAAGATAAAAGAGCGTGTATAATTCTTTTAATGCCGCGTTGACAAGTTAATCATACTTAATGATAAAATATTTATATTTATAATGTCCGATTGGGCATGCCACGAGGAATTTTTTTTTTGGAAATGATAAGTTTTATTTTATTTCAATAGTTAACAAGTGCCCCAAAATCCATATTTTTCAATGGATAAAAAATTGACTTTTTTTTCCTTAAACGGATTTTTATTTTCCCCATTTTTAGTGTCATTCTTCTCTTGTTATTACCAGCAAGGCAGCAACCAAATAGAAATAAGAACAGTATTGACTTTAATACGTCATGGTAAGGCAATACGCTAAAGTCGGATTATATGTCGTATTTGGCATGGCATATTGTAGTTAAATCAGCCGGCCCACCTTTTCTTTTTTTTAATAGGGAAAGATCTACTTTTCGTCTCTATACTGTCCCTCTTGTCTTAACCAGGTCCATGTACCTGCTAATTTGTCTAATTAATTCTTTTTACTTATACAATTTTTCTAATCGAGTCACTCTAATACCAAATCCGGCCAAATCCAACTTCAAGCCCGGATGATGAGGCATTGTAGTTTGAGGTGGGCAAAATTTTCCAATATGGCCGCTGATGGCTAGATTTTATACACAACACACTCCAACTTTACTTATATTGGCTGGAGTTCCACTCCGTATGTTCATATGGGCATCCGCATATTTTATTTGCATCATATTTTGACATCATTCCACAGTCACGTTAGCTGAATTTGGTCGGACTTGATGTGAAAGGAACTCGATAGCAAAATTTGTGAAAGTAGAAGGATTTGATTAGATAAATTAAAAGCAGTACAACCTGATTAGAAAAGGCTCGAAAGGAGAGGCACGAAAAGTATAATTTTTCTTTTTTTTCTCAAGAAATGTCACAATACGCGGACAACTTCCGGCCATAAGAAAGAAGTCCCCACATGCAATTGGACATTAAACGACGTAAAGAAGCGGACCCTATGTGAATTTAATGGTATGAGAGAGCTGGTGATATTAGAGTTATTAGGATACCTTTTTCACTGATTACACAGACCAGTTTAATGGCAAAGTGACTTCCTCCAAAATCAAAATATAACAAATTAATAATATCGTGACGATATCACCTTAACAAAGGCTTGCCATGCACCGAGTAAGATATCGCACGATGTATAAAGACATGATGATTGATGCACATTGTCGAGAAAAGTTGAGCTGAAGATTTGAATATATCGTGATGTGGAGTTTTTTCTTTCCTTTTAAATTTTTCCACGAGATTTACTTGGTTATGAAAGCGTGGTTGATCTCCTATTAGACTTAAATCTAATATCCATTTTACCCGAAATTAAAGAAAATTATTTTATCTTCTCGACCTTTCGTGATTAGAAATGCTATTTAGCACGATCAATGGGTGTCCACGTGACAACTACTTGAATATTACGACATATCTTTAATGAACAAAATTCGATCGCGGCTTTCTCTCGACGGCACAGCAATTTCAAAAGATCATCAAAATTGTAGTGAACATTGATTGAAACTTTGGAACGGAACGGAGGAGTTTTGAAGCTCGCTCGAGGACGGAGTAGGAAATAAAAAAAAGAAATTTGGGGTTGTATTCGAGAACATTAGTCCTATGTGGGGGGAAAATTAAGAATACGGAGAAGCAAGGGGGGGTGAAAATAGAAAGTGTCGGTAAGGAAGGCGACAAATCCAGTAACCATGGAAGACGGATAGGAATACCTCGGAGCAAGACGACAACCGCAGCTTTCCACAGTCAACCCAGCCAGCCGCCATTAACAGTGACGGCGTCGTCTCGGGAGCTCCGAGCTCGCCCCCCCACCCAATTTACCCAGTGAAACTCCTGGCGCCGTTCCCCGCTTCCGAGCAACCCGAGCATGGACGCCGTGTATCTGGAAGCAGCAAAAGTCGTCGTGGCCGTAGCGTTTCTCGACGTGGGGGTATGCGGCGAAATCCGTATGCGACATGGTGCATACGGTAGACGTGTACTGCGGATCGAGTGCGACGTTTGAAACTACGAAGAAACGGAGTCAGTGAGAGAGAGAGAGAGGGAGAGAGAGGGGGAGGGGGGGGAGTTTATCCACCATGGACGGTCGCCACCAGTAAAATTTGACCATTCTCTCTCCATCTCTTCTCTGTCTGTCTTTCTCTCTCTCTCTCTCTGTGGGGTTGAAGGACTTGAAGAGAGCTTGATCTTTTGGGGTTTAAAGTAGAAGTTTCGGATTGAAGGAGGAGGATTATTTCAGAGCTCGGTGGAGAACTGAAATGGCTGTGAGTGCCTCTGGTTGAGAATTTGTTTTGGAGGCTTATGAATTTGTTGCCTCTTCGCTTGCTCGCTCGCTCTTGCCTCCTGTTTTGATTGTGAACCTCCTATATGCTTCAGAGGCTTCAATTGCCCATTTTCACTCTTCATCTTTCTATTATGTTTGGTGCTGTCCTGAGACGTGATTGTGCTGTTTTCCCATGTCTCTTGCTACGGAGCTTCGGGATCAGGGCAAGCACGAAGAGAAGGGAACGAATTTGTCTGTCGGGGTGGATTCAGTTTCTGTGCGGTTGATATGATCTTCTCACGCTCTTCATTTAGGAACCATGATTCGGGGTTTTCTCATATGCTTGCACAACACGCGCAATTGACTTGAGTAAAACTGTCTTGGCCATGTGGGGATTCGGTGTTGGGTCTAGATAGCTCATTAAGGTTAGCCACACAGGGCCATCGGTTCGGCTTAAAGTTAGTGCACCCCGATTTGACCGTCGCTCTTGGTTGCGCCACCGCACGTCTAGTTTGCCATTCATCTAGGGCTTCACGTGCATCGGAGACTCGACGATGCGAACTTTTTGAGAACAAAATTCTATGGACATGTAAAATACTCGATGAAAAGGAAGATGGTGGTAGTTTTGCAGCGTCCTGTCACAGTTCGCAGCACAGATACTGGGGATGTGGAAGCTGGATCAATGAGCAGCAAAACCTTTTATGGCACTTGGTGTTCAAGGCATTTCTGCAATTACTTGTATTTTTGTAGTTATCGGTCTTGTTAAATGCAAGCATCTAGAAGTGGAGAGTGTAATCTGTTTCTTTCTTAGAAATATTTGATGTTTGGTTGCATTTGAAGATGCTGTATCCTTTATTCTCTGTGGAACTTCAAATGTTTATGTCCAAGAAAGACAATTGTAGTTAAGTGCAACTGAGCGCAGTTGTACTGATTTTATTCCAGCCATATTAGCCTTTTAAGGTTGTTTGGTTTCTTTCTCTGAAATGCTGGCTTCCTAGTTAACAATGTCCCACAAGATTGTCAGCTCACTGTTTCTAGGGGAATTGTCTCCTCTGGATCCGAAACTGTTAGCTTTGGCACTAGCCTCACTGTGATAACTTTGTCAATCATGGAGGACGTGATTCTACGCTTTCCCTTTTAGAGGTTGCATTATTCTGCAAGAATTTTCTCCAAGTTTAGTACCTCTAATCGGTTTGCACCATGACCGAGTCAGGTTCCTACACTACTTCAATTATTTTCTCTTTATCCACTCAACAAAATTTTAAAGAGAAATGTATATTTCGAATTGTGTTACAGTGGTTGGTCTGGTTCTTTGACTATTTGTTCAGTAGCTATTAAGCATCGAAGTATCCTTATTGAGGATCTTTGCCGCACTTTATTCAACATGTTTCTCTATTCGTTTTTTTATCAGTCGTGCTTGTTCTCGGTTGAAGATAGTAATTAATACGAAGCAAAGGACTAGGTGAAACAGTGCACTTCCACTATCGTGATTACAATGTAAGGCTTCAAATGCCTTCTGGCATTGAAGTGACAAAAAATGATAGCTGATACCCTGGTGACTTAATCGTGATGAATATCTGAGATTTTCATGTCATTCTTGGTTTTCTCTGGCTCTGCATAAAATGATTCAATCTAGATAGTTACAGTTTTGCCTGTGCTTGTTTTGTTCTTGGATGTAATACTAGCTGCTTTAGGTCTGATAAGTTGAGCAAAAAATTGGAATTACCATTAAGATGCGTTCAGCTAACATCTCAAATTCTTATGTCACTACTGCAGGAACATCCACGGGTACCCCAATTTGGCAACTGGGAAGGTGGAAATCATATTCCATACACAGTTTACTTCGATAAAGCCAGGAAGGGTCGGAGTGGAACTAAAATGATCAATCCGAACGATCCAGAGGAAAACCCAGATTTACTGTCAGATGCAGGAGTTCCACCTGAAGCCCCTGCTTCTAGAGCTGAAGCTGAATCTGAGGAACCTAAACAACAGGGAGTCATCAGGACAATGCATGAGCGCAAAATGAGCAATGATGATGGGAGTCTTACACAGGTTTCGGACCAATCTATCCACAAAAATAACTTGGGCAGCTTGCATTCTGACGAGTCGAAGCATCAAGCACACGGAGGGCGAGGAGCAAGTTATGGTGAACCTCATAGGAGGCCGGCTAGATCAAGCTTTGAGAAGTCACCAATGCACCCCCAGGGAAGGATCTCGGGAAGGGGGAGCGGTTCGCCCTCCTGGGAAGGAAGGGGTTCCCGTGAAAGCAGCCATGCCATGGGCACGCCGGGGAGATCCCGCCTGAGTTCAGCTGCTAAAGGAGACGACTTCGTAAATCTTTTCCCTTGTTTTTGCTTTGCTATTGTCATTAATGGCAGTAATCTCTGAAGTCATGCTGAGTTTCCATTAAAATTGAATAGATTTTCCGAACATTTTCCCTTTCTGATAGCCAAAAATCTTGTTCTCGAGCGAAAAGCTTCTCTGACCAGAAGTGATTCCCTTTGCAATTGTTGGGATTCATACAAGCTTTTGCTTTTTACCGTGTTCATTTTGTTAGACGAAGATGATTCGGTTACGGTCCTGAAGGCTAATATATCTGATAGTATAGTTTGGCTCTTGCATTACCCCCTGAAGTTTCAACTGTGGTTTCTGATCAACCAGGTTGACAAAGGTGCTGCTGTTCCAAAATTTGGCGAGTGGGATGAGAACGACCCGGCTTCAGCTGACGGCTATACTCACATCTTTAACAAAGTCCGAGAGGAGAGGCAGGGGGGAGCGCGAACGGGACCGGACATGTCCGGTCAGTCACCTTATAGAGGTGCAGCTAGTCGAACTGCTGGCAACAACTCAAAGGTATCGTGTCAAAATTGTCCGAAAGTCGACACTCACCGGCTATGAAAACATTTCTAGTTTCCTCAATGTTCTTCCATTTTTTTTGCTTCGTTCTGCAGGGTTGCTGCTTTCCATGGCTTAGAAAGTGAGGTCCTCTGAATCCTAGCGATAAATATGCTGAGTATGTTTTGGCAGTGTGTGTTTGATGAATTCTGCAGATACACTCCTTTGAAGCCGATTTGTTACCTTACCGATCCACCGTTGTGCTTCTTCTTTCCAAACCAGCGGAGTTTTCTGGAAGGCGGGAAGAACATGTAATTCTTTTTCCTTTAGATCTTCGAGCGTTATTAGTGTGCACCTAATTAAGTTCCAATTTTGTGATAAAAATGGTCTGGGTTCTCCGACTCTGTCGGAATTTCTTGCCCACTATCTTGATTAGTTCTATCATTCGTTCTGAACTTTTCCTATGATCGTTTTGCCAAACCGCCGGGTCTGTATTTTCCATAGAATCCTTGCAAGAAAAGCTTACAGCTAGTGAACAAGAGACAGCAGTTCTTATTTTGTCACAACTTGAATGGATACACTACAGAATGAAGCTTCATATTAGTCCTTATACCATGAATTGAGACTGTAAACCTCATCTGTGCATTTGAACACTAAGGAAGACGCTCGACAACCAGAGGGCGAACATCGGCCGAAGCCGGCATTTTTTTAGCTATAATATGTCATCAAGAGAAGGTTAGTCTTCTGATTTGTTCATCATATGCAGAAACTGACCGTTAATGGCCGTTTTGAACAAAAAGGAACGCAAACGGCGCCCTAAGTGGCCCAAGGCCAAGATCAGTGATGGTCTAAGATTGACTAAATTCTTGCAAAGGGTCATCAGGTAAAAGCTCAAATCAGATAAAATCATGAAAACCGTCATGTTGATGGCAAAAAATCCATAACCCTCCTTTTCTTTTCGGCGAAACAAACAAATTATCATACCGTGCGAAAACCTGTTTGTCTGGATTGATTATAATGCCAATTACGTTGAGGAAAATTACCAAAATAATCATAAATTTATTGTACTTTTGCCAATTTAGTCATAACCTTTTAATTATATCAATTGAATCATAAACATTTTCACATTTTGAGTCCATCCGGCCAAATTTAGTCGGAAATCACTGACGTGGACGTGAGGTGTCTTACGTGGAACGGTCAATGCTAGCGTGAACAAATTTTTTTAAAATTTGAACATATCTTTTCAAAAAAAATTATTTGTTCTTTTATTCTCTTTTCCTTCTTCTCTTTTTTTTTTTAGAGTGCCCAACAAGGGTGGCTGGACCCTCGCCGTGAAGGTTGCCGACCCTCGCTGGTCACAGGCGAGGCCTAGCAAATCCTCATCGCCACTTGGTGAGCGCTCACCTAGACCATCGCGGCCTTGCCTGCTAAAAAAAAGAGGAAGGAAAAGAGAAGAAATGGAAAAAAGATAAATAAACGAATAATTAAAATTATTATTAAGAATTATTCACGTCAGCGCTGGTCTTGTCACGTAAGGCGATCGGCTTTAACTTCAACAGTTTAAGAACAAAATTGGCCGGATGGATTCAATCGATAAAACTTGAAAAGAGTTAGGATTTACGATTCAATTGATACGGTTAAAATGATTAGGATTGGATTGGTAAAAGTGTAATAAATTTATAATTTTTTAGTAATTTTCCCATTAACTTGTTTTTTTTCATATGTCATTGACGTAAACACTGACAAAATAACATCTTGCACTTTTCGAGTGCGCTATTCTTCTCATGAAACTCGATCAGATACAACAATATAAAGAGAAATTGCTTTCCGCCTTTCATCTTAGTAAAAAAAATATTTGTTCCATCACGTGCCACGTCATCACCTTTCGCATCACCCGGCAAAGAACTCCATGACATCACGTGATACGTGATGATGCTCTCTTGCCCCACAGGAAAAAGAAAGTATTTCTTAAATCAATTTTACGCATTAAAAAAGATTGGGCTATTTCTCTCATTCGATTTGGATTTTAAAAAAAATTTTGGAATTTTTTGCCGATAGTTTGCATTTCCAGTCCTAATGGAAAAAAAAGGATCCATGAGTCTCTTATAATTTTTTTTCACTTTTTATCATTTCTTTGTATTTTTATAATTTGATTTTTATTTAGGCAATCTAAGAATTTTTAAAATATAGACATCGCTTGATAGAATCATATTTGATTTTTTAAAATATGGGATTGCTTAAAAAAATTAAAACCAATCGGTCGTCAATTATAATGAACTTTTTAGCATATATATGTATATCGGGAGAGTTCGTGACCATCGCAAAAATTCTTGGTAGCAAGGAAAAAGAGGTAAAATTACAAATCAAGTTAAAATAAAAAAAAATTTATGAGTCCAAAGTAATTTTTTACTTTTCTTTAGAAAAAAATTTATGATTCTCATATTCGATTTTCATTTAGGGCGAAACACACGAAACTTTTCAATTCTCATATTTCAAACTTCATATGCTAAACACAAAGATCTTTATTAACCCCAAAACACATGAAATCTTTATAAGTTCATACCATATAGGGAATTATATGTAATTTTCTCATTAGTAATTAAGAGTTAGATTTTATTTATGGCCAATTATTCGAAGAAAATTAAAACGTTAGTCCTTTCCATTTTTGCGCCGATAATTCGGAAAAAGGCAAAAAAAAAAACACCCTCTTATTTGTTTTTTTTTTGGGTCAAATAAAAAAAGGACACCCTCTTTAACGTCCATCTTCTTTTGAAAAAAAAAGAGAAAAAAAAAGTCTTCCCATCCACCGGAGCGAATGCTCCCCATCGACGGTGGACGCGGACGCTACGTGGCAGCGGACGGTCGGATCAACGGTCGGTTGCGGGGGTCGTGTGTTTTTTACATATGTGCAGACGTCGGCTCGCCGCAAAGACGAAAACGCCCTTCGCCTCCCTTCCTTTCCTCCCCCCCTCCGACCCTTCTGCCTTCCCGAGGGCCTTATAAATTCCATTGACCCCTCCCCTTCTCTCCTCTTTCTTCTTCGCACTCTGGTTTTGCTGTCTCCGCAGCGACGACGCCACCACATAAATTCGTCTCTCTCTCTCTCTCTATCTCTATCTCTATCTCGATCGCTCTGTATCTTCTGCGATTGCCGATTCGGTGTTCTCCGTCCGGAGTTCGAAAAAGGTCTCATTTTTATTCCAGAATCGAGTCCGCAAGGTGCGATCTTCGGGCTCTGGCCTCTTGTTATGGTGCTCGCGGGCTCCTTTTTCGGTTTTTTTTTTTTCTAATCATTTCGTAGCTTTGTGTAGGGATTGGGCGGTGGGGCTAGGGTTTATCGGTGTTTGATTTTTGCCTGATTAATTCCGAGGCCATTTGTTGTTTGATTTTTGGTTTTCCGCCTCGGTTCGGGATGCGATTGCGACCGGGGACGGTGGATTTCGACGGGGGAATTTTGTTTTCGCCTTTTTGCCGATTGTTTGACGCGAGGGGGGGTCGAGGAACGGAGTGGGGGTCGGTGGAGGAGGAGACGCCTCGATTGCCCGTTTCCGTGAAACGATCGTATTTCATTTCCCTTTTAGACCGGGACGCGGAACCCATTGTGTCGGTCATGTTTCGAGGTGAAGAAAGTTCTTCTTTTTTTTTTTTTGTGGGGAGCGGGGGGGGTTTCGGATGTATGGAATCGCTAGTTTTTGTCGATCCTTTATCTCTGTTGCCTTATGTTTCATGTTGATGATGGGGCTTCTTCTGAATTCTTTTACATCCGTGGAAGTGGAGTATCGGCGATCTTATTTGCCCTGACGTTTTAGTGTTGACACAGGTTATGGAATCCTAACTTAGTTGTGATTGGACTAACTTTGGCTGGATGAATCTCGGTTAGTGTCTTGTGTTTTCATTTTCTCATCTTTAGTGTTTTTTTTTCTTATTTAATGTACGCGCCTTCGTGCGATAACGTTCTTTGGATAAAGTAAACTGGAGAATGATTTATAAAAACCAATAGGATGATGGATCCGAGGCAAGGATTTGGTGATTGTCTCGTTGAATGCTGCTTGCTTGTACCATTGCGCAAATTTTTTGTTATTAAGAGATGAAAGAGAGTGAGAAATTTGATATTTTTTATTAAGGGACGCATGTTTTTTTCTTGTTTGGGGGGGGGTGGGGGGGTGGGGGAGGGGGTGTTGAGTTGACGATGGCTTGAATTGTTATTTTTCCTTTTTCTTGAACAGCTATCTTTTCTTGGATTTTGAGAGCTGGAATTGGGATATTAGCATGAGCACTCAGATGACCAAAACTCCTCCTCTAAGAGGATATCGGCGTCGAAAAGCAGTACTGAATTTAGACCTTAACAATGAGCCACCAGTTGAAAACCGGGATCAGGAAGGTACTTCAACTCAAGTTGTGTCTCAGCAAGTGGAGGATAGCCATCAGGGGCAACAACCCCTGCACCATGCTGCAATTGATGTTGAGGCCATTGATGATGATGTTGCCTTTTGCTCACCCAGGGCATTTGCTGAAGTATAACTCTGGTTACATGCTTTCGTCCGTTGTAATGTTCAGTCTTCATTTAGGAGCAGCTGCTATATTTGACTTGTGTTTTCAATGTATAGGCGAAAAACAAATCCCGGAGGAATCAGTCGAGGACTGAAGTAATTGAAGTAGAGTCAGGTACTTGATATTTTTTACACTGTTGTGGCTGTTGTCTGTATCCCAGTGTGCATTTGTACATTTGTATTCTTCTCATTTGTGATCCCCAACACTTCTTCTCTGTGAACTTGTCGGTTGGTTGACAGCGAATTTCCGGCATTTTTCTTTGCCCCAAATCCAATACCTTGTCCTTTTTCTTGCAATATGTGCATGCGCTTCTACATGCTTCGGAGTTGCTTCTTTGAAAGGGATGTTGATTAGTAATGTCAGAGGACTGGCAATGGAAGGGTGGATGGTCAAAGAATTTACTTTGAACTGAAATAAGCGAGTACTTCCATTTCCTTTGGCATCTGTTTTTCACTTTTCAGTTAGGATGAGGGTCTTTGGAGGTTTATGGAAAAGCTGTAAAAGCACTTGCAGCAGGATGATTCCACCAGATAAAGTAAACTGAAAAGGAACTCCTTTAGAGACTATAACATATATTCTGCTTTGGTTATGATTTTGAAAAATTCAGTGGTTATCAAAAGATCATTTGATATTTTTGCTGGCTTGAATGCTTTAAGTGGTTTAGGCCCATTATCCTCTTTCTTCTATTAGTAATGGTAGGCTTTTGCTGTCTTAGACGCTGTGATTTTTGCTGTAATGTTACTAAATTTATTCCTTTGCTGGCTAAAGTATGTCAACCTTTTAATTACAGATCACAAGTGGTTTGTGGGACTAATGCACTTTGGACTTTAGTGGTGTTGTAATCTATCTTTGTATTTTTTGTTTGTGGTGTTGGGAAGGGGAGTATTTTGGAGTATTTTTCTTGGGATGATTATACTTGGGTCTCTTGCTGTTTGAATACGAGACCACCGGTTACCTTTTTATCTCAGAGTGCCCTATAATTCCCCAATGACTACTCATCATGCAACGTAAATGATGTTGGAGTGTTGTACTGTTCGATCCATGACTTAAGTCATTGTAACAAAGTTGAATATGGTAGTACTGGAAATTCATATCTAATTCTTCAAATTGACATCGCAGTTCTTTGTTGGCGGGTTGGTTTCTTTTAGCCCCGGTAAACTTGTTATTTCCATCTCTGGCCTCTCGATCATGTGTGATGCTTCCTCAGTTCGCCGTTGCATCAATCATGCATCTTCTCTATTAAGTTACCGACTTATGGGTCTGTCTTCTTCTCTTCTTGATTGCTGCAGATGAACATAACACAAGGTTTGCCCACAATAACCCTAAGCGCAGAAGATTTCCTGCAAATCAAGATAGTGTAAACTGCGGTCTCTACATAAATTTGGAAAGCAGTAATAATCATGTGGTACTGATTTTGACTCTTCCTATCACCATTTTCTCTACTATGCTCCGCCACATTTTGATATTAGTTGGTTTTTTACTTTCTTCAGCATCCATGTATTTCTATGATCAGTTCATTTGCCTTATTAGTGATCAATAAGTCAATAGTCCTTAGGGATTTCTTTCATTGATCTTTCTTTTAAAAAATCTGGTATAGATACAGCACTGGTAGGTCCACTTTGAGCCTTGAAATGAGTTAAGTAGACATCAAAATGGAAGTACCCAGAGTATTTATCTGCATCGGATGCACTGAACCAAAATATTTGTAGCACTGCTTTCTTTTATCATTTTAAGAACGTTTATTGTCCGTGCCAGAGGAGTTTTGTTGCAAATTACTACAGCAATTGTGCTACTTATGAGATAAATTGCAAATACAGATTTCGATGGTAAATTCTGGTCATGGGAATGTGTTTCTCTTGGGACATTTACTTACTTGAGTCTTGCAATACCAGATTCTGCAGTTTAACTCAGACAATTCCCTCATGAGCTGCTTGTGCTTGCGCTGTTGTGCCTTGAGGCTTCAATCATACTTCTGTCTCAATTGATATGTGTGATTCATTTGCGGTGTGATCTATAAGATCAAATTGCGTGCTTTTATTAACTGGCGAGGATATTATGATTGGATGGCGGCAATGACTTGCATTTTTGTGATTCTTTCGTTTTCCGTTGCTCTCCCTCAGAGTTGGTGTGTGCATAACTGGTTGTTAACGCCTGCAGACAGTATGGCTCGAGACATGTGTAATGTTATTGTTGTTGTAGTTTAGAAGTTGTGTGCATACATACATTTTTTATGTTGCAGAGGTGAACATGGAAGTTATTGTGACCTGTGGAAGTTGAATTGCAGAAAGAAAATGTGGTGAACCCGCCGCCGCCGCCGCCGCCACCAAAGGAGCCAACATTCAGTTGTCCAATCTGCATGGGCCCATTAGTCGAGGAGACATCTACAAAATGTGGTCATATTTTTTGTAAAGCCTGCATTAGGGCTGCGATAACTGCACAGGCTAAGTGCCCTACGTGTAGGAAAAGAGTCGTCATGAAAGATCTCATCAGGGTCTTTTTACCTGCCACCACAAGTTAAAAGTGAGATTTCTCTCTGTTGATGGATTGCTCTTTGCTTTGATCCTGTACTCCAAATTTATTGGTTAGGAAAAAGTATGATCTGTAAAGTGTACCTCCTCCTCCGCAAAAAAAGGCACCTGTGAAAGGATAGAATTCTCTCTGTGGAGAGTCTGCTGTTTTAGCTCGAAATGCCAAATCTCTTTTGCTGGAAAAAAGAGTTGCGAAACAGTAATTTCAAATGATATGGCAGTTGCCGAACTTGATTTCGTGGCTGTATATTTGTGAAGTCTCAAAGCTGCCTCCGTTAGTGCTTACCTGAATTTCATCCTTAATATCTATAGCTCCTGTCAATGTCATGTTATGTGATCTTTGTTTTGTGATACAAGGGTAAAAAAGCTGATACCATCCCATTGAGTCAGAATCCACTATATTTTAAATCAGCTCTCTTCATGCTGTTGTAGCTCATTGCTATTTTTTTTCTCATTAATCTTATAGGTCGTGCTGATGCTTTGAGACACGAGGAATGACGAGAAATATTTTTGACGTCAGTTGAATTAGATTTTTTTCGGAAGGGAAATTGTTGTATAGGCTATTCTGATATACCAAATGCCGATAGTTATAATATAAGAGACGTCAATGTTAAAGCGTATAATGAGAATCAAGGGAACTCTTTAGTCTCTAGTTTTTAGTTCAAGAGAACGTCAATCCATGTTTGTTTTTTGATAGAGTATTGTGCAACCCGACTCTCGGTATGGAAAATGAATAACAGATGGTTGGCCAGTATCCACAGATCCTCAGGATTTCTGGCTTGGACAAAGAGCCGACCACAACCCAAGTGCACATGAATTTTGGTCCATTTGTGAAGCTTCTGAGATTCAGGCTATGTGATTCAGACCCGCTATTACGTCAGTTAAATCTTTGGCTTCGTACCCTGGTAGGGTTACATGTTTGTCTGCGCAGGCATGGGAACTCCCCATCAGCATGAATATGAGCATCTATCGAGATATACTAGAGCCTGTATCAATGCCAGATATCGAGTGGAGGGTGGGAGGGAGGTAGGGAGGAAAGCACTCATATACGATTAGCTGCATTAAACACAGGACACCACAACTTAGGACATGCACACATCAACTAAGTTTAGGCAAGACTCAAAGACACCACGACCTGGACATTGCGCACGAGGATATACTAGCCTCGGGAAGACGCTACATAATCATTAGGAGAAATTATTCATCATGGTCCCTAACCAGTATAGCTGCATGCAGACCTACGAAACAAACTTCCGAGCCCTGCGTGACTGCGTCCTTATGTCAAACCGCTGCTTGCTTTAAGGCCGGGAGCCACTCCATGGTTACCCTCGGTTTCTGTGCATCTTCTTCGCCTGCATTAGCCTTGTGAATGATGGAGAACCCTGGCCCAGGCCATGGGAAGTGGAACGGCCAGAAACCGAAGAAGTTGTGGGGAGCATAGACCTTGTCCTTCCCTGGCGTCTGGCGCCCTCCTTCGGACGTTCCGGCAAGGATTGCCGCGAGAATAAGGATGAGAAGGGATGATTCGGTAGTCCTCTCCATGTTAGCTTCCGTGTCTTTTGCTTTGTCAACTTTTGCATGAAGAAACCGAGGGAAACCTTCCCATTTTATAGTCAAAGTCCTGTGACATTTAGCCCATTTCAGGTTCTCAAATTTACTGCCTGATGCACAATTTGCAGACCATCCTTACAGCAACAGAGAAGTTAGGTGGTCCGTGGCAATTTAAATTTCGCCTGCTCATGTTACTACTATACTTGGTTCACTGCTTGAATTCTGCCTGGTGACTGGGGATTAGAGATTCGAAGCAATGGCCAGCTGTTGGATTCATGTGATCTCCAGGTCAAAATGGGAAGAAGCTTAACAGAGTTGAGTACTTTTGTGGCCTCAACGAGGAGAAAAAGCTGTTGGGCCATTAAAGATGCTGAGGTGGTGTGAAGTTCGAATAGCGAGGGTCTAGAAGGTGGACCACAAATTGCTTTGACGGATTCTTTGAGAAATCAAAGCTTACAACTTTTGAATCTTGATGCTCCAGATTCCAATGGTATGTAAAATGGGAGTGGTGGAGAGCGTTATCTGCATATCGGAACAGATTGAACGTTCGTGGATTGAGTCCTTGACTTTTTATTTAGTCGATCGAGTCGAAGACATTATCAATTTCGATCAATGAATTCCTAAGGCCAATTTTCCCGGTTGAAAATAGCCACGTTGATTATGGTATATTCAGCCATGTAGGATTTTCCCATCTCAAAATGTCACGACCAATGAGTTTCCGACTTCATCAATCAAAATGGAATACATTTAGGATTTAATTTACCGAAATATAGACGCCTTGTCGAAGACCCAGGTGCCATGTCTTCTAAAGTTCATAGCCAATTCAGCAGAATCGAGGGTTTCACATCCATTACAAAAAACAAGAACTGCTTATGGCATTGTGGTCGGTGAAACAGACAGAAATCACGAGAACAGTGATCTGGTTTGCAACCCTGCATCATGTGTTGAAAGCAAGGGTACCTGAGATAATACAACTTTCTCTTGACCATCTGGAAATGATTAATAAGCCAGTGTAAACTCAAGAATCCAGAGTACAAATACACATGATGAGCAACCCTAGTGTAATTCTCTTATTCATCCTTTGCACGTTCTACAGAGGAATACAGTAATTACAGTATATGCTCTGGATAAAAATGCCCACATGACTCCAAAAACTGTGCAATAGCAACAGCAGGAAAAAATTTACTTTGGTTTCCAATAATTCGGGCGATGCATCACCATTCAATGATCAAAATACCCATCTTGGTGATGAATGTACGGCACTTGGCCGGGGCCGACTAGGTTGCCCTTGGTTGTTTCGCTTCTTCATGATCGAAGAGACTGTAGGGCTGTAGTAGTCATTGCTCCTCTGGGAAGTCGCCCCGTGTGAATGCACCTTTCTCCCGTGGATGAAGCTCCTCTCTTTTTCGAGCAACTCTCTGCGAGCTGTCGAGCTTCTCTGTGCAGGCCCCCATCTGCTGTAGCTCACGCAACTCTGACTCCTCCCAACTTGATGAAACTTACCCTCTCTAGGGCTAGTGTAGTTCCTGCTCTCAGCAGTTTCCGCAGAGTACATAGTCTCTTCCTCACTGCCGTACCCGTAATGCATCTCTGAAGCTTCCAATGGAGATGAGCAAGACTGGACCTCACTCTGGGCCCCGTTCACCGAACCTGTAGAAGCCATCTCGTCAACCATATGCGGACTGGTCAGTCCCACATCCTGCACTTCTTCTCTTCTCAGTGGGCTCTGCAGACGCAATTCCTCGACACAGTCCTTATTGGAACTCAGATGCAGAGGTTTAGATGGCAGCAAAGTCGCAGCAGGTTTTGCAATTCTCGGTGGGAAATTAATATCCAAAAGCTGCACCTGACCAGCTTCTTTCTTGCGAACAGGCACGGAAGATAATTTCCGCGATTCATATATTTCTGGAGTTGGGATTCCCTGAAAATGTGTAGAATTTGGATCAATGGCCTTCTGTTCCTGATCGATCATATTTACAGCAATGGAACAGCTCGGTCCAGGTGGATCTCTGGATTTGGATATTAGATTTGAAGAAGATGGAGTTCCATCACCATCAGCTTCTGTTGACTTGAAAACCCGGCGCATTGTGAAGGACGCACATGAATGCTCACTTTTCTGGCCTGTAGACATCAATCGCATGATTGGCAATTTCGGTTTATTGAGTTCGTCGAGGCTGCCTTCCCAGTGCTGGTTTAACCAATCACAAATAATAGGTATAGGGATCCCGAATTGCATTGTCAGATCTTTCTTTGATGATGATGAGGATGACGATGACGTGGAAGAGGATTTGGTGTTTGGAGACGTGGCTAGTTTCATAGGATCGCATATCATAAATGCAAGATTTCCCTGAGCATCAAAACCAGCTGACCCAGGACTCCATAACACCCCCTCAGTTGATAATTTTATAAGATTATCAGTCGCTATAACGACTTTTCCCTCTCCAATTGTTAATTCCTTTTTCTCAGTAAAACCTAAAACATATACGATGCTGCCCAAGTCAAGGTTTGGCTTGGCATTAGTTTTCAAGTAGTGAGGCTGCTGACCCTGGGCATTGGAATCTCCATCAATGGTATCTAAACCGATTATTGAAAGATCCAAAACTGAACTGGTGATAAAAAACCTGCAAACATATAATTAACACATGAACCTAACAGGGTACTCTTAAAGCAAGCACAACTTTGAATCACAGGAAAGGCAATAGCAGCTCCTATAGTTCAATGAAGGGACAATTAGTGCATGACCATTATTAAAGTTATGATATCATAGACATTATTCTTTTCTCCTCTAGCACATGCAGGAATGCTGTTGCGGTCAGATATAGGGCCATACACAGGTCCAATATCAGCAAGAAACTCCTCTCCTACCCACCCCAATTTGCAGGGGCACTTTTTCCATGCCCAAAGAATATACGTATCGGTTGATCCCCATTCCCAATGACAGGAATGGGAGACTATTAGAGAAATTTAAAGAAGGTCAATTCCCAATTGCAGCATGCATCAGATGATATGTTCAACTATGAAAATTTAAGCACAGGGAGAACTGGTGGATTTTCAAGCAGAAATTGGAAGAAAATGTATATTCAATCTCGAGCACATGTTTCGAGATTTGGTTTAACAAAAGAGATTATCCCCATGCAATTCAAATGCAAAATCTCTACCGACTGAAAACAACACATACCCAGTTGAATAAGCCTAATACATCTGGCATCTCATATTGCTCAATTCGCTGAACATATCTTACTAATTCAATTTCTTAACCAATTACTCCAGGAATATCTTAATATAAAATTCTCAAGTCCGAGATTGAAACTGATCCAACAGATGCATCTTCATGATTTATATTATAGTCGTAAAGATCCCATGTCCTCTGGGTCTACAATTCAATCCCAGAAGCAATAGGTGGCAAAGGTGCACTCGGACAGATCATGAAGCTACGATGTCTCCATCAACTATCGTCGAGGACCCCCCCGACCTCAGCCGTTTGTTCACGTCACAAACATCTGTCATGAGAGAGAAAGGATTGCTTTGAGACCTAATTCAACCTTCATAGATTTTCTCTAGCTAACCAACTCGACTTCGTTTAATTTTTTTCCTCAAAAAAGGACCCACCAAAATCAGATCTACCATGGCATCGAGGATCCTACAGGAAAAGGGGGGATGCAAAATAGAAATTTCTAAGAGCTGCAATTTTGATTTGGGGGCTAACAGGAAACTCCAATGCATCTCCCCTGTTTTTCATTTTCTAACTAAGCGTTCATAGAGTTTACATGCTGTAAAACCACAACAGCCTCGCATTACGATATCGCACCGACGATTCAATGCAAAACGCCACAGCGGGTTCCTTCCAATTCAGGCCTAGTCCCACACAGGAAGGCGCGAATCAAAACCGAACCTGAGCGAGGAAAGCCAAGAGTTACCTGTGGGGAAACAAGGTGGCGGCGACCCCGTTCTGGAGCCGGATCTCGGAGCTCTCGGCGGCGGCCACGGAAGGGAGGTTGACGTGGGCGGTGAGGAGGAGGTTCCGGTGGATGAGGAAGCCGGTGCCGGAGCCGGAGACGGCGGCCATGGCGGGGGACTTGCCGGAGAAGATGGCGGCCTTGGTCTTCTCGGACTTGCCGACGCCGCTGCAGAAGCAGAGGGACTCGGTGAGGACACCCATCGCCGGCGGCGGCGGCTCCTCTTCTGCCTAAGGGTTTTCCCCGGGGAATGCGCCGCGTCAGGGCATCGTGGGGCTCAGATCTGAGGGGGATGCCGGGGCGCCGCCGACGAACCCGTCTTCTTCTTCTTCATCTTCGCCGGCAACACCATTAACCCCTTCTCGAGGAGAGAGAGAGAGGGGTAGGTTTTCCGTGAAACGAGCAAAGGAAGAAGGTGGATAGCGTAGAGCTGGAGTGCAGAAGCTTTCGTCTGTGAAACTCCTGAAAGTCTGAGGGAGGGAGGGAGAGAGAGAGAGATGAACAGGTGCTTCTGAGCTTCTTCTTTTTTTTTTTTTTTTTGAAAAAGTGAAGGAACATTTCCATACTGTTTATTTTTATAGTAGTAATGGCTATTATGTTACGGATTTATTCCGTTTCATTTTTATTTTTTTTTTAAAAAATAAATTTATTTCGGATAATAAATTTTAGGGAAAATGACACAAACGGTCACTAAACTTTGACTCGATGTGTAACGTGATCCATAAACTTTTTAATTTGTTCAATGTGATCTCTGGACTTTCGGTACATGTTCAATGTTGTCTTGACCACATTTTTAATTTGTTCAATGTGATCTCTAGACTTTCGGTACATGTTCAATGTCGTCTTGACCACATTGACCATTCGTTCAAAGTTTATGGATCATATCGAGCAAAGCGCATGATAACCATTCTATTCCGATCGAGCCTCCGAACTGCAAATGATTTTTCTATTTCTGCCTCCTGACGAGCCGGTAAAAACCCGTCTGATAACGACTCAAAATTTCTATTTCTGTAACGTAAACCCGTTCGATAACAAAGACAAAATTTCTATTTCCCCGAAACAAAACCCGTTTGATAAACAACAAAAAATTCTATTTCCAGAACATAAATCCATTTTTTTAGAAATGGAACAAAAATAATTAAAAAATCCGAAAAATTCATAAAAATCTCAAAAAAAAATCAGAAAATCCCAAAAAATTGAAAAATTCCAGAAAAAATCATCAAAATGTCAAGAAAATAAAAAAAATTCAGATTTCGGAAAAATAGGAAATTTGTTGAATTTTTTAAAAAAAAATCAAGAAATCAAAAATTTCAAAACTTCACAAAATTGCTTAGAATACTTGTAGCCACCCACTTTGAGTAAAATTTAAATTTTTTGAGGTGCCCAAAAAAATAAAAAAAAATTTCAAAATTTTACAAAATGGCTGTAATACCGCGCCACCACTTTAGTAAATTTTAATTTTTTGAGATATCCAAAAAAATTAAAAAAATTAAAAATTTCAAAACTTCAGAATGGCTTAGAATATTTGTGGCCACCCACTTTGAGTGAAATTTTAATTTTTGGAGGTGAAAAAAAAAAGCAAAAAATCAAAAATTTCAAAACTTCACAGAATGACTTAGAATACATGTGGCCATCCACTTTGAGTGAAATTTAAATTTTTTTAGGTGAAAAAAAACATAAAAAATCAAAAATTTCAAAACTTCACAGAATGACTTACAATACCTTTAGTCACCCACTTTGAGTAAAATTTAATTTTTTTTAGATGCCCAAATGGTATTTTTTATTTTTTATTTATGTTTTTTGGCTCCTAAAGAAAAATTAAATTTCACTCAAAGTGGATGGCCACATGTATTCTAAGCCACTCTGTGAAGTTTTTAAAATTTTTCTTTTTTGCTTATTTTTTTTTCGACACCTAAAAAAAATTAAATTTCACCAAAGTGGGTGGCCATATGTATTCTAAGCAATTATTTGAAGTTTTTTATTTTTTATTTTTTTATTTTTTTCGGCACCTAAAAAAATTTAAATTTCGCTTAAAGTGGATGGCCACAGGTATTTTAAGCCATTTTGTGAAGTTTTGAAATTTTTTTTTATTTTTTTCGGCAACTAAAAAAAAAATTTCGCTCAAAGTGCCACAGGTATTTTAAGCCATTCTCAGAAAGTTTTGAAATTTTTACTTTTTTGCTTATTTTTATTTTTTTTGGCATATAAAAATTTAAATTTCACTCAAAGTGGGTGGCCATGTATTTTAAGCTTATTCAAATTTTGAAATTTTTTATTATTTTTTATTTTTTCTGAACTAAAAATTTAAATTTCACTCAAAGTGGATGGCCACAAGTATTCTGCCATTCTGTGAAGTTTTGAAATTTTTGATTTTTTGCTTTTTTTTTTTTTTTTCGAACCTAAAAAAATAAAATTTCGCTTTCAAATTGGGTGGCCATAGGTATTCTAAGATATTTTGTGAAGTTTTTAAATTTTAGAATTTTTTATTATTTTTTATTATTTTTGGCAACTAAAAAAAATTAAATTTTCTCAAAGTGGGTGGCCATAGCTTTTCTAAGCCATTTTGTGAAATTTTGAAATTTTTTATTTTTATTTATTTTATTTATTTTTTTCGGTACCTAAAAAATTTAAATTTCACTCGAAAGTGGGAGCACGATTCTAAACCATTCTCACAAGTTTTGAAATTTTTGATTTTTGCTTTTTTTTCTCACCTCAAAGATCGTGACTTCCATATGAATATGTGTATTGAAGAAAATGAATTCCTCAGAAATGGTTCTTACTTTTGTTCCGAAATGAAAAACCAACTTTTTTTTTGGTTCTCATTTCGGTTTCGAATCCGATTTGGAAGCAAACTTGTCCCGAAATATAAAAATGAAATTGCGTTACCAAACGGGTTTCTGGTCCAAAACTGATTCTGGGAACAAAAAACCAGTTCTGGACAGAACCAAAATGGTTTTCATGCAGCACCTAAAAGTTCGGGGATCACATTACATATCGAGTCAAAGTTTAGGAATTATATTGAACAAATTAAAAGTTTAGAGACCATATTATACGTTGGGCCAAAGTTTTGTGTCGTCATCCCATTTTATATTAGTAATAGCTATTATATTACATATTTATTCCGTTTCATTTTTTTTCTGATAAAATCTTTTTATTTCGGATGATAAATTCTATATTTAACGGATTTGTCAAAGTGTTTGAGATACATTTTCTTTCGTGAGCGCAAATATTAACTAGAGGACTAGTGGAGAATTTCGTTAAAGAAAAAAGAGAGACAAAATATACAAAAAAATAAAAAGACAGAGAGAGAAATGAGGAAATGTTAACGAATGCATGCGTATCCAGGAGAGAAGGGAACTATCGAAGATAGTGATGGTCACGTTGTTTTCCGATCGAGCACACCGCACCACCCCCCACCCCCCCCATGCATTTTTGTCTATTCATCGAAAAGACATAGCCATAAAATTAGATTCAAGACAGAGAGAGAGATGGCCCGCCATGTGTCAATATCTCCCGTCTTTCGTTTTAATCTTCAATGAAAAAATGACACAAATAGTCCCTGAACTTTGACTCAATGTGCAATTTGGTCCATGAACTTTTAATTTGTTCAATGTAGTCCCCGAACTTTAACCTAATGTTCAATTTGGTCCCCGAACTTTTAATTTGTTCAATGTGGTCCCCGAACTTTTAATATGTGTTCAATTTAGTCCCCGAACTATTTGAAAATGTTCAATGTAGTCCTTCCATTAATTCAAGTGCAGGGACTATATTGAACATTTTCATATAGTCCAGGGACTAAATTGAACACATATTAAAAATTCAGGGACCACATTGAACAAATTAAAAGTTCATGGACCAAATTGAATATTAGGTTAAAGTTCAGGGACTACATTGAACAAATTAAAAGTTCAGGGACCAAATTACACATTGAGTCAAAGTTCAGGGACTGTTTGTGTCATTATCCCATCTTCAATCTATAAGATCGATTGATCGATTGAGGTCACAAGTCGATAAATCAAGAGTGCTATCCATTTGTCTTGAAACATCCCGTCATGGCTATTGATTAGCATTTCTTGGTACAATCTTTATGAGTGTTCGAAATTTGCACCATTCGATTTCATTAGAAATAATTAGGTGTTTATACCTTCGCCTTCATTAAAAAAAATGCGACGCGGGGAGCAAACGCGGTTTGGCACGAGGGGCCCGGTGTTTAGTGCCGGGGGTTCGTGATTTTGGACGGGGAGGGACCACCGTAATTGACTCGACGGGGTTGGGGGGGAAGAGAGCCACATGCATGTTCTTCGAAATCACGTTGGGGGGCATATGAACCGGAATGATCACGTCCCCATACAAAAAGATGGAGATGAGGGAGTTTGGGAGGGGCAAAAGTGCCTTGAACATGTGATGGTTGCATTGCATTATTGCGTTTGCACGTTTCTTTCACAAAAAAAAATTACACACGTCTCCTAAATCTAAATGTAAAAGAAAAGGAAGATTATGAGATCCTCTAGGAAAAAAAATTTGGTTTCGATTCGATTTTTGGTGACTGTCGTGATCATGTTTATCGTCAGTGCTTCCGATTACGACAAGAATAGTCTCGATCGGGACAACATAGGATGGGTTAAACAGGAAATGTGCATCCCCCTACGCTTCCATGAATGTGATCGCCATGCCACGCCCGTTCTGATACAGTGCACGTCAAGATTAATACCATAATGGGCTCGTATGATACGGTAGAAAAAAAAAGAGTAAATTTTCTCAATATAACATATTGTTATATTTTTCAGTTAACTGATTATTTCAACATCGTCGTTTTTTTTTATACATATAGCTTTTATGTTTGTTATAATAATCATGCGAATTAATGAGTTTGGACAGCGCATCGCCGATCGACACGTGGTTACTCCACGATGGATGCTCACGGTTTTCTCTCTCGATATCTCGTATCAACGTGATAGAAGATATGTCATGCTTTAATTGGAAATGTTTATGATCCTCCACCGGCGTCTTAAACGTCCGAGAAGAGCAAGTCCGTCACTATGGCCTCACAAATGCTGGACACACATCACTATCCCACGTTCATGACCTCGCTTTGTGGGTTTCAAAGAGAACGCATGAATAAGCAACTTATATGGATTACAGACCAACTCACTACCGACTTAGCAATTGCTTTGGCCTTGAGACTTTACATCTAGGAACCTTAGTATGACTCGACGTGTTTTCCCTCGAAGCAAATAGTGTTTGATAACCACAAGTTTAAAGTGCATGCTAGAAAAGACCCCCAAAAAAAAAAAAGTGCATGCTAGAAAGAAACCGTAAAATCAGAAATTAAATTAAAAGAGGAGGGGCATACATGGATAGAGAAGAGCAGACATAGGGCCTGTTTG